AACATTAAATTCAGGTGTAGAATGGGGGAAAACAGGACAGAGTTGTTTTCATATATTTACCAAATGTTTTTCATGTGCTTATCATGTGTCAGAAAGAAGGTTAGGTGATGAGAATCCAATAATATACAGAACTGAATTGTCCCTTCCCTCAAAGATCTTATGCTGTAGGAAGGAACATAGATTTTTAAAATAAAGTAAAATAATATCATTGAAAGTCATAAGTGGAACTACAAAGATACAGAGAGATCAGAACTTAAAAGATCTTTGCATGGCAGAGCAAAAGTCTAGCTGTGATTCTAAACACAGAGAAAGCTACTTAAGGATTATTTCATTTTGGTTTCAATAGCAAATTAAAAGTATATGATAAACTATTTTTATTTCTTAAATTTGTAAGTGGTGCTGAGGATTGAATCCAGTGCCTCTCACATGCTAGGCAAGCACCCTACCACTAAGCTACAACCCCAGCCCAGCTATTTACACTTTAAGAACTTTCTTTTTTACAGTGTGCAGAATACATTAAAGAGGAAACAATAGTGAACACAGAGAAAGCTGGTGGGAAGCTGCAGGTGTGGAGACAATCGTCGTGGCAGTGAAGATGGAGATATTATAAAAAGGTGATTTGGCAGCTTTGGAGAGAAGTCAGGCAAGGCCTGCCAAAGGATCCAACATGGTAAGCAAAAAGTAGATTCCCAGCCTCATGCCAAGGCAGGCACTTCCATTCCCCAGGAAAGAGTGATGGACTGGGAAGGGATCTGGGGAAAGCAGAGGAGGATATGTTAAGCTTGAGATGTCTGAGACAGAGATCAAGCAGGAAGTTTAATGGGAAAGAAGGAGTACAGGTGACAGTAGACATAAATCAGGGACAGATACTCACGATGATTCTTTTTTTTTTTTTTTTTTTTTGGTTACTGGGGATTGAACTCAGGGGCACTCAACCACTGAGCCACATCCCCAGCTCTATTTTGTATTTTATTTAGAGACAAAGTCTCACTGAGTTGCTTAGCACCTCACTGAGGCTGGCTTTGAACTCATTATCCTCCCGCCTCAGCCTCCCCAGCTGCTAGGATTACAGGAATGTGCTACCATGCCCCACTCATGATGATTCTTTTTAATGAATGGAAATAATTGAGATCACCAAAACAGAGCATGGAGAGAAGAAAGGGTGAAGGGCCCAAGTTCCCTCAACCTGTCCATGTGGGGAATGCAACTAATAATGAAGCAGGTAGAACTTCATCTGAGGTAAAACCCAAAATTCAGCCCTTAACATCCTCATCCAAAATGAGATAATTGCCCCACCTATCCTGTTGAATTGTGAGGACTAGAATTATTACATGGAATATGTTGAGATCAGTGGTTGGTTATATAAAAAAGATCAATTGGCTGTCCTTATTATTATTATCTGAATCAGGAGATAGACCACTCAAGAAGCAGAAGAGACCACAAAGGAGATTGATCATTCTGAAAACTATGTAAGGATGACTGAAGTTAGGGTCTGTGGGCTGGCGTGGAAGTAATTGCTACCCTGGATACCTAGACATTGCAAGAATGTTCCTGGTGATTGCAGAGTAGACAATTTTATCCTACCTGGGTCTTATGAAATGTAAATCCTGAATTTTTCAAGCACAGAGGAAAATCACTATTTATTTATCACACACTAATGGATCATCTGCTATGTGCCAGGCACTTTATTTTGGCCCTGGGAATAAAGAGATTCATTCAGAAGTTGGCTACTTTGGGTGAGTTCACAATCTAATGAGGCAGGAAGGGCAGATATAGTTCCTTAGAGTTTTTCTATGGCTACATACAAATTAATATTGAGCCTACAATAGGGCGCCCTAATTTGGCTTTGTATAAGGAAGAAATATACGAATAATAGCAGTAAAGATGACAAAAACCTAAGTAAAGTAGAGGCCCTCAAAAATTTACTGCAAAATATAGAGCAGCTCTTTTAACAAAGAACTAATAAAAGCAAAACTCCAACATTAACGAAAAAGAAATTTTCCATATCCCATAGTTACAAATTTTTATTTAAGATTTTACTCCTCCTATATATCCAACTGTAATGGCTTTATTCTGGCTATTATATCCAATCCCAATACCCCAAGGTGTTTTTCACACTATAAAGCATCTTCTTGTGTATTAGAGTAAATTAGTTAGCAAAAGAATGAGATATTAATCCTGTAAAGGTCACATCATCTTGATTACAAGAAGCCAATAAAATGGAATTCTTGCCTTTAATGGTTGAATGTCACAGAGGGAAAATAGACAGCTTTACATTTCCCTCTGTAATGGAGTGATTTTTGTTCTCAAATTATATTCCTCAAAGTACCGCCGGTATTTGTTTCTGAGGAAAACGACAGCAACGTGATCCTTGCAACGTGATCCTTGGAGAGGTTGCATCATCTGAGGAAGAGAATCAAACATCCAGCCCCAAAGAAAACAGCACTGCCTGTCCTCCACTTAAAATGCTTGGCACTTATTCATTCACAGGAATTTTCTTTAGGATTTTGATGAGCATGAACATCCTTTCTTCATTCCGTTTCCAGACAAGGCAACCAGGCAGAGAAATGTAGTCACCTGCCCAATATCACAGGCTCCAGGGACTCTAGAACCACAGGGAGGGTCATTGGATTCCCAACCATTGCTCAAACATGGGTCTGGCTGCTTCCATCTCACCTCATCAAAGACAATTTGGCTGCTCATTTAGATTTCTCCATTTATAATAGAAACTAAGGACAACTTTATTTTCCATTCTGTGCTAGATGCAGTCCATGGATATGACATCATCATTGAAGTGATGCTGCAATTAACTGTAGTCATTTTGTGCTAGGCTCAGGTCTAAGTGTTTGATAAATTATTTCATAAATGCCCCCAACAACCCTCTGAGATACCTACTAATATTACTTTCATTTTAGACATCTGACAATTGAGGCAGTGTTTTATATGAAATAACACAGCTGGTAAGCTGTGGAGCCTGTATTTGAACCCACAAAGGCAGGCACCAGAGGCCAGTGTTCTTAACTACTAAATCACCTTGCTTGTCAATGGACTACATAATATTATCTCCCTGTATAGGTTTGTGTGCCAACACCCTGCATTGCCCTCTCTAAGCACAAATGAAAATGCATGCATGTCACCAAAAGTCCCTAATGAATGGAAGAAAATGCATAACTATGAATATGACACATGCTTATGCTGTAAGTGCAAGAGGATTATGAGAAGTTTTGCAAACTTGGTGACCAGATCATGAGTCTAGAATGAAAGAGGTTTGAACTTTTTCTCTCATCTCTCCCTCAACACTTGATTTTAGCAATTTTGAAGAACACAAGAAAAAGTGTCTGAGCAAAAGCATGAATTTAAATGATAATAAAGTGTCTGAGCAAAAGCATGAATTTAAATGATAATAAATTGTTATTTGTTCCAAAGCTTGATTGCTATGTTTAGTAATGAATTCTCAGATCAGAATGTGTAGCAACCAGAAAGACTGAGATCATTTTGAGTTGGACACAGGAGCAGTTATCTGGACTCTCCCTGCCACATATGTAAGGTAGCATTTCTCGTGGTGACAGAGAGCAACTAAGTCAGACCCCTTGAGTTCCAATCCTTGCTCAACCACTTTTGCTGTCTGAACTCAGCCAGGTCATGTAGCCTCACTGAGCCTTTTACAGTTTCTCCACTGTAAAAGGATGAGTTAAGAGCACCACTATCTACCGAATTGTTGTGTAGCAAGGATTCAATTTTTTAATCTCATATAAAATTTAGAGAAGTGTCTGGCACCTAAGAAACCATCAAGGATGTGTTAGTTATTATAATTACTTTGAATAGAAGTGAGAGAAGTAGATAAAGGAGGATAGAAGAATAACAGTGGCAGTAATCCCAATACTGACCATTCTGTTCAATAGGGAAGCCTCTGTCCCTAGTACAGCATCCCACCATATGGGATGGAGGTGGTGCAGACTGTCCCAATCACCTGCCAGGGCCCCCACCTCTGCTTAACTACTCATATCTACTCTAGGGAAAATGTAAGAGTATACAGATGGGCCAGATTTGCTAAAGTTTTGGGTACCTTCTCATCTCAGTTTCAGCATTTCCATTTTCTCTTAGTTTGGGACAGAGATGCTAATCTATATCAGATGTCCACAACATATTTTAATATTATTAAATCCCATCATTTGGGTGAGTGGTAATGGATAGAGAAATGACGCAAAAATAAATCAAACCTGAATTTTGCCTTTTTTGAGCTATGGTTTATAATTGGTGTGGGGGATGTGAATTCTATCCTTCACAGGCAGCTGGGTAGGTTGGAACTGGGTGAAGATGTACTGAATTGTCACGTTGCTGGAGGACTCCATGACATCCAGCACTGCAGAGCATCCTCCAACATGAGAGAATTCTACATGTCAAAGAGTAGAAGTGCCCCAGCCCCATGAGAAACACTGAAGCAAACTATGGGAAACAAACTTCAAGATGATAGAGCATTAGAAGCATACAAATAAAATTCTAAAAAATTCAGAGATCAAAGGTGACCACCTACTGTTCAACCCTGGAAAGACTTTGTAACAACATGAATTAAAGCATTGTCATGAAGAATGGATAGTATTTGAATATGCAAAGAAAGGGAGGAGAGAGCACATGAAAATTTTGGAGTTCTGACCATGCTTTATAACTAGGATAGCCATTTAATATCTTCCAAACCAGCTCACTTTTGCAGGGACTATACTAATTAGCATCCAAGACAATAAATAAAAAGGGAACTGCCGAGGCTAATTGAAAGGCATAATTATCTACTTAGAACACAAGCTGACAGTGAGGAAAGAAATCTTGGCTTTACCCATGACAAAACTAAGGCAATAACATGATACAAGGCTCATAAGTAGATGTGGACAGCACCAGGATGAGACCCAGTTTCCGCAAGTGTCAGAAGGGATGAGACAAGTGACCCAAGACATGATGGCTGATTTCAGCTTGTCAATACCAACTAAAGATCTTTGGCCATTTACCTGCTTCTTTTGGATGGTGTCCTCTCACCTGAAGTGGAATAAGTAGGAATATGTGATCTTCAAAACTATAGCGTGCTCGCCTGGCATGAGTGTGGCCCGGGTTCGATCCTCAGCACCACATACAAACAAAGATGTTGTGTCCACCAAAAACTAAAAAATAAATATTAGAAAAAAATTTTTTTTTAAAAAATCTTATATAGCTCTGATGCTTTAATATTATTTTTCCCAAAATAGTCAGAGACTCATAAACCCCTTTCCCCTACCTCTAGATAGGTTAATTCTATTCTTCAGCTCTTGTGTTTTTTCCCCATATTTTATTGATTCATTATAGTGGTACATATTAATGGCATCTGTTGTTACACATTCACACAGGCACATAATTGTGTTTTATTTTATAACCAATGGAGCCTTTTCCACTATAATGAAATATGTACCTTCCCTGGTGGGAGGACCTTGTGTTCTTCAAAAATGCTAAAATCAATGTTGAGGGAGAGATGAGAGAAAAAGTTTAAGCCTATGGAAATTTGTAACAAGAGCTCTAACAAAAGCAAATAAAATTCTAACTCAGAAAAAAAATCATGCTGAATTTCAAATTTAAAATAATACTACAGTAGATATCAGACTTTACTTTTAAATAAAGGTAATGATGCCTTGGTTGAAGGGGTGTGTGTAGAATAGTTGAGGTCATATGCCCCTGTATTTGGGAAACCACGGAAACCATGCAATATGAACTTCCAAACAGAATGCATGGACAAACTGGGCGACAAAAAATGCCAAGGAAGATGTTGAACATAGTGGGTGTTCTTGTCCAGCATGCTGGGTACCACTGTGCTTGGATATTAGGAGATTGTCTGATATGACTTTAGTGTCACAAATCATTTAAATACTGGAGAAAATAGCTTATGAGCCAACTCATTTCTGCATTATAATAACATCGTTCTTCTATTTACTGACTATGAACTCATTTGCATAAGAGAAACATGGATAGGAGGAAAAATTGTATCTGCACAGTCCCATTTATTTCAGCCTATTAACGCAGAATTCATTCATTCATTCATTCATTCATTCCACATGTATCATGTCCCTGCATCAGGCAAGGTGCCATACTGAGGCTCAGGAGAAGCAAAAGCATGAATTGAAATGATAATAAATTGTTATTTGTTCCAAAGTTTGATCGCTATGTTTAGTAATGAATTCTCAGATCAGAATGTGTAGCAACCAGACAGACTGAGATCATTTTGAGTTGGACACAGGAGCAGTTATCTGGACTCTCCCTGCCACATATGTAATATTCTGAAGTGGGCTGAGGTGCCTTTTTTCCCCTTTTCTTGTTAAAGTCGTTCTCTCAGAAACTGATTTGTTTTGTGCTGTTTTTCATTCACATCACGATCCAATCAAACCACAGAATATAGGAAAGATCAAAGTAGTGCAGTCTAGCCATCTACAGTAATTCATAGAATATATGAGGCATTAAAATTTTCATTCCTCATTCTTATAAGAAAGACTATAAAGGTAACCGAAAATGATGCAGAATATGAATTCATTCCTGAGACAATGATTGTAGCAAGAATGGGGAGAGGCATAAACCAACAGACCCTTTTTTTGCCTGTGTCATAATCCCTTTGTGAAAAACAGTTCTTGCCTGTGTCTTTCACACTTTTACTTTTATCCTTGATCTCTTCAGTTCCTCTCTTATCTAAATGGTACATGAAAAAAAGCCCAGAAAAGTTTTCGAGTATTGGCTCCCTACATTTTCATCCAAAGCAATCTTACAGCATTCCCATAAACACAAGAAAAAAGTGTCTGAGGCTGTGCCTAGCAGATGCAGAAACAATTGATTGAAAAATGAAAACTTAAACAACAAACAGGAGAGGTAGGCTATTATTCTGCAGTACACTAAATCCTGAGTTTTATGCTCTATGTTGTATTTCTTTCTGTTTCTTAACCATTTATATTCCAGTATATATTGTATTAATTCTCACATTTTGGTGTAACAAGGCAAGTCTGCATCACTGAGAGCAAATAAAAGGGAAGACATCACCTACACTTAGACAGATGATGGGACATAAACATCATAGGAAGGGACACGTCTGCAACATTGCATATCTGGAGCACTCTCCGAGTTAAGACATTCAAGAAATTCAAGCAGGAAAATTTTTTGAAACTTTTTTTCATTCTATTAAATTTCTCTTCCCACTAAATAGGGAATTCAAGGAGAAAATATTATTGCCAACTTGTTTCATTAAGCAAATGATATTCAAAAGGAAAAGAAACTTAGTTTGAGTTTTAATTTTTGAATAGAAGAATTTTGGTTCAAACTAATGGAAAGGTAGATCCTCTCTGTGTGGCATTGTCTAAGGCACCCATGGTGCATGACTTCCCCACCCTGCAAGGCAGGTACTGGTGATATGAACTGTGTGACAGGTGAAGGGATCTTGGAAAAAAGCTGTACCCAGGGCCCTGATATCCCTGAGGGTCCCAACTTCCGATTACAAAGTTGAGGGAATTCCTCTTCTCTCATCTGCCTTTTTTTTAGTGGTTTCTCACCTACAATGATAACTTCTCATGATTCATGAGCCTTCCAGGGACCTTTGCAGGAGCCACCTGTCACACCACGAAGCATGTTGGAAACAATGCCATGTGGAGGGAATTGATCCATGTCATGGATCTGGGTTCACATTTCATCGCCATCTCCAACCAAGTGGATGAATTGGGACATATCACTTTGTCTCTCCAAACCACAATTTCTTCACCTGTAAAGTGGGAATAAAAAACTGACACCATGGCCCTTTTTTTCAGAATAAGATCAGAAAACATACTTAAAATATTAGGTACAAATTCGTGTAAACTCTGAAATGACTTGGGGTTCAAATGCTGCTGTAACACCAGTGGTCATTTCATTTCTTGATGACTTATCTACCAAGGGAAGATCATAAAAACACTTCCCTCTTAAGGTGAGTTATGAGAGTTCATTATTTGCAAAGTGTTTTGAAAAATGTCTGGCACATTCCAAAAATTTGGTCTTATTTTATCCAATATTAAGGTTCTGACACTCAGCTTCTATGCATAATGCGCAGTACTAAGATAATATAGTCCTTGTCAGTAAATAAACCACATATTAGTAACTAAAGATAAAGAGGTCCCACAAGCTAAGGTTCTGTGTAAGATACAGGGAAGAAATGTAACCACAAAATTTTGGAGCATTTTGTGTTATTCTAGGAGACAAAGACAGTACTATAGAAGGAAAAGGTAAATAAAATATGCCTTGACTTGAAAATGACTTGGTTGGTGAAATTTAGTGGAGGGTTTGGAGGAAAAATGGGAAATTTTAGAGAAACTGGATACAAAGGGGGAAAAAATCTAATAAAGTTGCTGCTATAGATCAAGCACTCAATGAGACTTAAATTTAGTTCACAAACATTTACAGAAAAAATCACTCTGCATTCAGTTACACCAATGCTAGGTTGGCATACCAACTGAGTGGAACAGTGGTAGAGACTGCCCCAGCAAGGAAAAGAATGGTATTATTAATATTGCTTAAAATTGCCAGGGCATGAGGATAATAAAGCTGTCCAGCCTTTAGTCCTGTTATTATTGTTTCAAAGTTCCCTGCAGACCATTCACCCAGTGTCCAAGGTAGACTCTGTTCACTGCCTGGCCTTGGGTCTTCCACTGACAACAGCTCAGTTGCACCCATTTACAAGGGACATGCGATGTACTGAAAACCAAATAGATGGAAAAATAATAAGTATTCAGTAGGAGTCACACATTTTAATAATCATCACAATAAACTCCAATTGATATATTTAGATGCACATAATAAAATAATTTTAAATTCAAAACTCAAAACAAAAATTGATGCTATAGGTAAAAAACTAATAGTAGGATTGAAAAATTTGGCAAGTGAAAATACATTGTGGGGTAAGGAGGTCTTTTTATGTAAACAACATATCAAAATATCTGTATGTTAATGGGATTGGTCCCAGAGACGGAGAAAGAAAAACTTATGATGAAAGAGGAGGAAGAAATGATTTTACAGTTAAATTTGAATCTCAGATAAGCAATTACAATAACGTTAATATAATTATATCCCCAATATTACATAAGTATATTTATATTAAAAATTATTGATTGTTTATATGAAATTCAAATTTAATTGGGCGTCCTGCATCTTATTTGACAAACTCACCAATATGACAATATCCATTGAGTGAACATTTTATTTAACTCTCTTTTTTGGGTTTCTCCTATGCATCCAGCACAGCTTTAAGCATTGAACAGAGGCAGATTCACCATAGAAATGAGGCATCTTAAGCTTCTATGGCTCTCATTTGTACAGGTGACCCCTACAAGGTCAGTGGAGATCAAATGCCTTTGTAAAATTTATATAGATAATATATTTCAGCTGCAGTTGATTTGGATCACTGTTTCTGATCAATGATTTTCATTCCAAAGCCCTAACCCTCATATATGATGATGTTGCAGTAGCTACAAATAATTTTGCAATTCTACTATAGGGAAGTTAGTTGAGGATACCCTTAGTTTGTGTTTAGTGGGCTATATTTTTGTAATTTGCAGTCCCTTGCATGTTAACCATCTGGACATGGCTATTTCTTCCAGGAATAGTCATGTGCTTATTCATCCAGTCAAAGTTTGTATCATGATACAGCTCTCTATGCCAGAAATATATGTTTAAATGAGGGAAAAAAACGGATTGAAATGGACCAAGCCAGAGGCTAGCATGCAACACTTATTCTTCCAAATTAGAAAACTTCTATATGAATAAAATTTGATTGGCATTTCCCAAATTTGACAACAATTCTTAAAGTTTTTATGACTTTACCAATAAACAGGAAGCAAATGTAACTTTTCCAAACTATTAAAAATGTGAAATAAATTTCAACTAAGTATGCTTTTCTTTTTATCTTTTCTATGAAAATTATATTGCAAAATCATGATTTAATATTGACTAAAGACTATACATCAGGGCCTGGAGTTGTGGCTCAGTGGTAGAGTGCTTGCCTGGCATGTGTAAGGCACTGAGTTCGATCCTCAGCACCACATAAAAATAAATAAAAATAAAACAAAGGTATTGTGTACATTTATAACTAAAAAAAATCTTTAAAAAAGAGTATACAGCAAAAAAGGTGTGAACAATTCATTTTTTATTTGTGACCTTTCCATCTATAAACTTTTTAAAAACTGTAATTCAGTTGTAATTTTTCTTGTCATTCTAAATAAATACCAATTTTCATACCTGATTTTATGTTTTTAAGAGGTACAAACAAATTGTAGAAGCTTTAGGCCTCACAAAACCCATATGCAATTCTGAAAATAGTAGCAAACAAATTAGATAAATTAAAAAAACCCCGACTTACATGGGGTTTAAATTTTAGTTTGGAAAACAGCCAATAAACAAAACATATAATGCAGTCAATAGTATATGAGATGGTGATAATGGATGTGCAAGGGGAAACATCAAGAAAGAAGAATGGGAAATGCCAGAAGGAGTAGAGGTTCAACTTTCAACACAGAAGGCTCAATGAAGCCCTCACAAGAAGAAGACATTTGCAAAGACTGGCCACTGTGAGGGATGTGGGTATCTTGAGGAAGTAGGACTGTGGGTATCTTGAAGAGGAGAAAACCACAAGTAGAAAATCACAAAGCTGGATTCCGACTGCCTGGGGAACTGCAAGGAGGCCAGTGTGGCAGAAGTACAGGAGACAAAGCCAGAGATAAAGATGGATGTGAAAGGACACCTTGTAGGGCTACCTTGTGAGCTAATTGTGGGTAACGTGGATTTAACCCAAAACAGGAAAATTAGAAGATTTCGAACAAAGAAATATGATGACATGAGTTATGATATAAAAGAATAACTCTGGTTGCTGAGTTGTATAGAAGCAAAGGTAAGAAGACTTGTTAGGAGAAAACTCATTCATTTAAGAAATGCTGGAAGTTTACCAGGGTTGTCAGAAGTAGTCCAACCTGGGATCTCCTTTGAAGGCAATCCTGGCAGATTTGAGAAATAGAGGAAAAGATAACCTGAGAAGAAAAGGAGCATCAAGGATGACACCATGGATGTCAGTGTGATCAAAAGGAAGGATAAAGTTGCTATTTCCTATGTTAGGAAAGACTGCAGAAAAAGCAAGCTTTGAAGAAAAATCAAACTCTTAATTTCATGATGTCATTTGGATATTCCATGAACAATATCAGGTAAGCAGTTGATTATATATATCTGAAATTCAGGGAAGAAGTCTATATTGGAGACATAAATTTGTAAGCCATTGGAATATAAAGCTCTCCAACTAGAAGAGATCACCAAGGGAGTAAATGTATAGAGAATAAAACCACTCAAAGGCTCATCATGGGGCATAAGTCTAAGAGACTGGGGAGATGATGCAGAATCCCCAAAGACTGAGAAGGAACTCCTGGTAAGGTAAGAAGAAAATCCAAGAAATACCTTATCCTAAAAGCTCAGTAAGGAAAAGGTTATAAAAAGAAAGGAGATATCAACTAAGTCACATAATGCTGCTAGTCAACTGAGTCAAGACCTGACTACTAACCTTTAGATTTGGCAAAATGGAAGCCATTGGTAGTATTCATAGAAATAGTATATATGGAGTTGAGCAGTAAAAAGCTGGATTGCATTAATTTCGAAGGAGAATGGCAGGAATTAAATATGAGTGTAGGCAACACATGGACTCTTGTTGTAAAGAGGATCAGGGAAATAGGGCTCTAATTGGATGGAAAAGTGGGGTAAGAGCGTCTTTTTATATAATTGACATATCAAAATAATTGTATGTTAATGGGATTGGTCCAGCACAGACAGAGAAAGAAAAATTTATGATGAAAGAGGAGGAAGAAATGATTTTATTAGACAAAACTAATCATGACTAGGAATCTGTCATTTATTTATTGAGAACTCACTATCAAGCAAAGCACTATGTACTTTTTTCACAAAACAATCATTTGTTTCTCAAAACAATTCCAGAAGGTAGGTATTATTATTTCCCATTTTATAAAGAAGAGTGTATACTATGTTCCTGTGGTTACACAGACGATCAAAGGGAAATTTTAATTCAAGTTGGTGTGATTTCAAGTTTCTTTCATCTTTGAAGTCTCTGCTATGACACAACAGGCTTAGTAAATATGTAGTCAATATTCTGTGCAAGTGTGACTATATGAATGAGGAAATGTTGACTAGAGATCTTCCTCAAGTTATAATGGGATTACCTCCTGATAAACCCATCAGAAGTCAGATATATTGTATTTCAAAAATGCATTGAATATACCTAAATTTCTGAGCGTCCTAGCTTAGCATCACCACACATTGCATCAGTCATTCACTCTCATGACAGTGTGGCTAACTGGGAGCTACAGCTTCCTGCAAAGCCCAGTATCACAAGCGTATCACACTATGGAAAAGATCAAAATTCAAAATCTGAAGTATGGTTTCTACTGAATACATATCATTTATGTACCATTTAAAATTTAAAAATCCTAAATTGAATCATACATGCATTCATGTATATACATGCATACATATAGATTGATATACACATACAGGATTGCCATGGGCACTTTGGGGATAAATAAAAAGAAGTAAAGATTGGGCTTTCTCTTTCTAGACTAGAAATGTTTTCCCTATGTCCTATGAAAGACACCAGCAAAAGGAAGTTACTGAAGCCAAGTATCCATTGCTTCCCAACTTCCCAAGTGAGTAATCCACCCAAGGCAGGAGCATTGGAACAAA